AGAGAAACATTACAATTTTAAAGGAGAGTTAGCGGTCGGTAGGAATACCTCTGAATCGTAGACGGAATGAGCTGAAGAAGTTCGCTGGATCAAGATTAATAAGCATAGCAGAGAATGAGTTTTTTTGGCAAGGTCTTATGAAGATTTTCATCCAGCAAAAAGGCGAAATATTTTAATTTACAACCAACAAGATTATTCAAGTTCTGGCGTAGAGAGTGACTGATGCAAGTTGTTACACTGAATTGTTTCAACGAAGTAACACCGTCCTGTTGCTTCTAGATTCCAGCCAGGAGAGGGGGCATTTGTGCCGGTCATGGCATAGTGGTGTTTGAGCACCTGTGGTACATGATTGCATAACTGCTTCACAATTGCCTCGAACAACGTTCATGTTCATAGCAGCACAAGTACGTTTTTGACTCAGGAGTTATGAACGTAACCGTGACTCATTTATTATGCACTTTGGTCAACCAGATAATTACTACATTCTTCCAGCAATATGTTATATCTTGAACTTCATGTCCTAATAGCCCTGATCTTCAATCCAGTGTAAAGGTTACACGACTGGATTGTATCAAAATCACCCATGTCAGATGTATTACTTGATGCGAAAATGGAAGTGAGAAAAATTGGCTAATGCATGATTGGCGAAATGCGAACGTTGAAATGCATTATAACTAGTGTCCCTCATCCACCTTGTGTCCTGTCCTGATGCAGTTACAGAACTGTAACTTTGTAAATGCTTTGGAAAACTATTACATGGCTATTAAAATGTTTACCAGGCCTGTGATCTGCTTGTCAATCCGTGCAAAAGTGAGAGGCACTTTGTCCTTCAGAGGCAATTTCAGACAAACTGCTTCGGATTCTCGCATTGTAACATTAACGTTCACAGCGAAACTGAACGTTGAGGTCCGACCAGCAGGCGGAGATATTTGACAGACAATTTTCAATCTGGTAGGTCGAAGATCGGGTATCGTCCTAATGCGAAGTACTCGGATGGAAACTGAACCAAAGATGGTGGGAATAGTTTGAGGATCTCCTTAATCCGTTTTCTGCAAATTATGGCCATTTTAAGAAAATGTATTCTGGAGCGAAAAGTAGTTTCACAGTGGCTGAAGCGACGGCTGTCATTTATTCGCTGGAAAACGGGCGACGAAATCCGACATCTGACGTTCCAACTGCATTAAATTGCGATGTTGGATTATGGTACATGAATTTCATGGGTAACACCATGTTCTCGGACGCAAAAAGCGGTACTATTCCGGTTTTACTGGGTATCGCCGGGTTCGAAAAGGCCATATGAGATATCTGGAGCATCTCTGCTTAGCCTATCGAATGGAGTCTATACCAAGAAAGAAGAAACCGAGAAATGGTAAAATCAGGGTTCAGCACGAGTGAAGTGTGGCTTCTGTCCTTGTCGCAGTCAACAACTTTGTGTAGCTCTTTACTCTCTGCCTAGTTAAAAAAAAATGCCACAAATATTCTTTTCAGGATTTGGCCTTTTCCGTAGACGTTGAAAAGGGAAGGAACGTTTGTCATCATTAGAATATCGATCGGTCTTCCTTTACTTTCGTGATTGAGCCGTTTTGGCTCACTTCGCTGTATAAAGTTGATGATGCCCTCAGCAAGAAGTGCCTTATTTTTTTAAAAGCAGGGTCTACAGCAATATTGCAAAGGTAGCTTATAGTCTCCTGTTTCCTTCCCACATAGTGATACTCATTTATCAAGTTCGGAAAGAGCGTGAACGAATGACCCCAGTCGCAGTTCGGACTCAGGACTTATCGGTTCTGAGTTCGACGCTCTGCCAACTGAGCAGCCTCAGTCTGAAGCAATGTGTGGTAAATTCCTTGTTCAAGGGAATTCATGAGTAAGACAAAGATTTTCTCTAGCAAAATTGAACCCAGAACCTCATGGCGTCTAAGTGGACCTCTTAGACAACGGCGCCAACACGTCACAAGATATTCAAAAGCTGTTGACAAGATGTATCGGTCGCCGAACCGTTGAAAGTACTTATGGAATATGTCGTTGATAGCTACCTAGCCACGTACTGGAGCCATCAAATTTTTATGCGGCTGCTCGCAACATTCTCTGCATAAATAACAGAAGGACGAGGCCTCTCATGTGGCATCCAGGGAAAGTTCGGAATGGAAAAATTAGTTTCTAACCCTTGGAAGTCCGTCTTCCTTATACCTGCATGATGGGACCATTTCTTCTTTTCATAAAATTAATGGTGGCAGTGCTGATCCCACTTCTGTACCATCAACCAGTGGTGCCATATTTTAAAGGCAGCATCGACAGCAGCTTCGTGACAAGTGTAATCCGAGATCTTCTGCTTCCTTTCCACAGAGTGATGTTCATTTATAAATTCTGAATTAAGGAAAGGCGAGTGACTCCTGCCCTGACTCGAACCCTGCACCTCTCGGTTCTTAGTCCTACGCTTTACCGACTGAACCACTTCCGTTGTATGCATGGATTCCATTGAGAATGCGGATGCAGTCTCTGTGCAGATATCGTCACAGTTGGGCTACAAATTCTGCATTATCTCACACTTGAACAGCTCTTCGGTTACCCTGCGAAACTTCGCGTCGTTATTTACATCGCGCCGCGTGTTCTTTCACAATCTTTTTTTATCCTAAGATACTATGAGCATTCTGACCTCATTGTTTGCGCAGTTATAAAATGTTTTTCCCACATCGCCGAACGATCAGAGTCTGAACTTCATAAACCTTTGTTTTGATAGAGTTGGCTACTGATGTGTGCCTCTTATGAAAATGTTGCATCATCATTATAATCATGATCTGGTTTCGACCATCGTTCTTCTAAGCATTCCGGTAACATCTGCGGAGTTTAACCGTTGCTACTGTCTCTTCAGTGTTTCACGGTATTCAGCGTCCTACAGTAATACCGATTGTGCTGCTGTTTTACGGACTTTACCTTGTAGCTTAATGGATGCTTGCTCATTACTTGTCATTCACCACTTTTCATTTGAGCTTGACCTTTTTCGATTCACCAGTTAATTGGTTGTCGATCACTCCTTTGGTTTAATTTTAATTTGTGTTTATATCTCGTCTGAGTTTACTCACCTATCAGGTTTGTCGGGGCAAATTGCACCCGTGAAGCGCACACAGAATGGCCGTGTGTCTCGCACTCTTTGGCATGGCCCCACCAAAATATCCTGCAGTCCCGGTTATTCGCGGATTAAGGAGCCTTTACCTGCTTTCGACTGGTCGCACCGAAGCACAGTCGGCTGAATTCCTTGATCAAATGGCAGTTATTAAGGGAAAATTAGGTTTGAACCGGGAACTCAGAGCCTGGAATTTGTGAAGTAAGCTTGTAGCCCATTGCGCCACTGACTCCCCCTTTGCCCAGTATGATGAAACCAAAATGCGTGACCGTTTAGCGTTTTAACGAGGTATGACCAATTAACCTGACGAAACTGTATGTTAATTTCTTTGTACTTCTTCCTTTCTACTGATGAAACATCCTCTCCACATCCCATAAATTCTTTCATTCTGTTATTGAAATGAAATCAGTGTCATATGCCCTGTTATCTTCTATTCGGATTTTGCTATTTATTTGTCTCCTCTAGATCCACATTAACTTGACTGTCTCCGAGCAGAAATGAATCCTTGATCGATTCTGCCGAAGTTTAAGTAAGGAATTTTTCTTATTTGCGACATGTACTTCGAACTGTCATTCTGTTCCTATCCTATCATATCTTGGATGAGGCTCGCGTACTCTGCTGGTACCACCTTTGTTCCTAGTTCATCATATTGTTTTCCGCGATCGGTGCAACCCTGTTGCTCAGATGTCATTGAGTTATTAGTCGTTTCTCAGTTGGCTTGCCCGGAGTATACTGAGGTGAATGGTTGACTTTATTTTTTAAAGAAAGCTGGAATTAGTCATAAATCTTTATCGGTTTTTTGGATTGGAAATTGCACTTTCGATGTATTGCTGTATATACAGCGTAATAGAGTAGTGCTAATAAAAAAGCTGCAGCTCAGTGATTTTTAGAAAGACTGATGAAAGAATACCGTTAATTTTTAATTGGATTGATAGCTTACTAAAATCCATAACTAATTAGTTGGTCTGTAAACTGTTAGTATTTCGATAACGGTATTTTCGAACTTTTGGAAGTATTTTCTTTGGCATTGATTTTAACGCACATTTGCATAAAAGTCGCGCTGACTGACAGCGGAAGGTCTGGAAAATGCAGCACATCCAGCTATTTCTCTATACAAAAATATTTTGTATCTGTAATCGCAGTCGTTTCATCCTGCAGTTTTTATTTTTCAGGAAAATAAGAATAAATGACTGAACGCTACAGTTTTTCTCTGACCACTTTTAGTCCGTCGGGAAAGTTGGTCCAGATCGAATATGCGCTTGCTGCCGTGGCCGCCGGTTCCCCTGCTGTCGGCATCAGAGGTACGATTTTTTTAATTGAAGACTGGTT